TTTATCCAAGAAAAGCAAGAAACATTCTCTCGTATTTAGGTGTTAACTACAGTAAATTTTGTCGTAATAATAATAATAATAATAACGATGAACATAATTAAATTTATCTTGTGGTGCAAGTACATCCTTACTCGAGACATTATGTGGAGCATAAATTGTGAGGCAGAAGTGTTTCCTTTCCGCAAAGTCAGTACAAGTATGTATACCCAAGAAAACTAGTAAAAGAAGCACGTCTTCGCGGTGAAAATTAAAGAAGGAGCAAATCCATTTACCCACTCGTTCGCCCCGTCTTTTTGTTTAGTTAATAATTCATCCCAGCATCTCGAACCCCCCCCCCCCCATCTCGCCACCTTAGCTGACTCAAAGACAAAGGTTCTCGCTGGTTAATTAACTAATTATTTAATTAACACCCACTCGAAGTCCAGAAAAAACAGGACCTTCACTTCTCACCAACGAAGCAGAGAGCTCTCAGTCCACACCAAGAAGGAGAAAAATAGAGAGCTTTCCATCGAAGAAAGATAGAGGGAGAGGTACCCCCTTCTCGGCGGGACAGCCCTTTCCATCGAGTAATGCGCGAGCCCCGAAAATCGATAAAAACGAGGCAGAGGGCCAACGGGCTTTTCTCTCCAGGCCACCGCGGGAGATCGGGCGTTGAAAAAAAAAAAAAAGACATAATGGCCCCCATTAATCGGTCTCGGTGTGTGGGTGTGCGACACCCCCCCTGACGAATGGCCTTGTGAGCCGCTTCAGCTGGTCCTCTATTTCTCTCCATCCAGCCCGCGGTGGACGTACACGTATCTCTGGATTTCGGCTTGTCGGATTGCGTGTACGTACACCCGATTAATCCCTTCGGCGGAAAAACGGAAATTGTCAAGTGCTATCGGTGGAGGAGCCCGAGGGACCTGCTGATGGACGGTACAGCCAAGGAAATGCTCTTGGTATTGATAATCGATTCCCTTGCTCTTTGGAGATATCTATATGCTCGAATTCGCCTATGATAAACGACGGGCGCGCAAAAATTAATTAGTCGTTGTTGGTGTTGTTGAAGAGCGAACTTGCGGCTCAAGTTGATTAATTGCACCCGCAAAGGGACTCTTTCTCTCGTTATCTGTTCCAATTGTTGTATAGGTACAGGGACGCGACAATAGCATTGTTATTACGCGGATGCTCCGATTCATTACTTAATGTCGAGCTGAGCGGTAACCGTCGTTCCGATCGAAATGACAATCAACGAGCTTTCGTACACATATACATAGCCAATACGGTATCCACTTTGGCGTTTGATACACGCTTATTTGCACGATTGCTTTTTCTCCGCACGCAACGAAAAATTATGTTTGCTCCCACGAGGTCGAGGATAAGGGCAGAGAGAGGGGAAGAAAAAAATACTTAATGGAGTCTTCCATTATCGCGATAAAAATGCGCGAGCAATTAATCATCCGCGTGTGGCGCGCAAACAAGCCGACAGCCGTCTCGGCGCGGTCGCGAGCTCATTAGGAGGGGACGAGAATTTTATTCCTCTCTTTTGTCCTCGTACATCCTTCGCGAGCGAACCGGACAACATCGACGCTCCCGCGGCTGACGCGATCGTACTTTTCGACTTTGCTCGGCGATGGAAATCGAAAGCTAGAAATAATCGCTGGGATGATGTAACCGGGTGAATTATTGACGGGACAGTGGCGTGGTTGAGGTCGCCGAGGCAGGCATCACCATTGTTCGGCTCCTCGGGGGTGACTGGGCTGCCACGCGCGCGAAAACAGCTTTTGTGCGTGCACACCTGTACCTTACCTGTGTGACGTGGGGCTCGTCGTTAAAATAAAAACCAGTGTGCGAGTCGTTGGTAACAAGGAGCCGGAAGAAGGAAAGCGAAAGCGCACAATGGCGGCAACTAGTGTCCTTTTCATCTACTCTTTGAAAATCGAGGTTCCACGGGTGCGTATACATACATGTATGCGACAAATAAACCGGGTGTACATGTGATTTAACCATAGTGGGGTTGCGTATACGCGCGACATCTTTCAAAACTGAAATGGAAAGAAAAAGAGGATGGATCGCACGCGTGCGCCGTGAATCCTCGTTAAAACGAGAACGTCGGCAAGGAAAGTTTGTTGTGGTACGACGAAAAAAAAAAAAAAAAAAAAGTTTTTAAACGAGCTCAACAGCAACAACGGTGTGTATGTTTATAACGACAACGCGAGCTTTTGCATATTATAATGCCTCGTTGGGGCGAAACTTTGCTGATGTTCAACGCGAAACGGTGTACGCATTGTTAACGAGATGCGCGCAGGGAGCCTCATTTGCGACTATTTTTTGAAACGCAACAGTGGCCCACTGCGGGCATTAATTTTCTTGCGGGGGGGTGTTTGACGCTCCAGTTTTTTTTTTGCTTTTCAGCAAATACCGTCCATCAGAGTCAGGCGGCGTTTGTTCAATGTCGTGAGACAGGTCGGTATATATACCTTTAGCCCAAGGATCTGAGTCTTGGTGTTGCGAAAAAAAAAAAAAAAAAAAAAAAAATACCGAAACAACAATCCCAACTTTGCTTGAATCTCGGTCTGAGGGGGACTCTTCGCGAGGCTTTTGTTGCTCCGCCACCGGTAGCTAGACGGCTGAGCAAGCATCAACAGATCGACCCTAATGGAGTTGCCTGACAACTTGAGCCAAGAACGTCGGGGTAAACAGAACGGGTTACAACACGGGCTCTCGACTGCGCTTTTCTCGTTATAATTGTACAAAAATCTTTTAATTTTTTTCAATTGACTAGAAATGCTAGCGACGTTACAACCGTACGGAGAAACATCGTCAGCTTATCTCTTATCGATATTCGATGGAGATTCTCGAGGCTGTATGGCCCTGGAGTCAGCTTATAGGGGCTAGACTAAAATTACCTCTGAAATCCTCTGTCAGCGAGTTGGATAACATCAAGAGTCGTTGTGGGTGTGAGTTACGTTTCTTGTGCATATAACGACGACGACGGCACTCTAAGAGCGCATAATTAATTAGAAGCGAGGTATGTGGGGCAAGAGGTGTAAGCTCCTACGGGATGCTCACTTTTTTCTGTCACTCAACAGTTTGAGCGTCGTTTTTTTTTTTTTTTTTTCCAGTGCAACAAAAAACAAACGTTGTAATCCAGCTTTTTCTCTTTGGAGCTTTTCGTCCCCGGGACGCCAGGGAGCTAGAGAGGAAAACGAGATTGTTAAATTCTCAAAGGTTCGCTCTAACGAGTCACCCGTTCCCCTTAGTTTGTCCCACGCAAAGGTAAAGGTGGGACTAAAAAAGCTCTCCCAACAACGCGATTATTAGTTTTGAAAAATGTTGGGAGGGGGGGAGGATGACCGATCGCTCGGACCGAGAGAAAGCGGTTCCGTCGATTTTATCGGAATCGATGGCCAAGGATGCGAGTAAACCCGTGCACACGTGCTCATTGAATCGCGACGGAGGCTGATGGGGACGGACTATCGCGCCAACTGCAGATCACGAGTCGATGTACCGTGACGGAGCTTGGCTATCGGGAAAAGAAGGGGTGGGGGCTTGTCTGACCTGTTTTGTGGGCGATTATATTGTTCGGCTGGACTGTTGCTGCCAAAATTTTCCAGATGGTGGTAAAAGAGATTTAAAAAACACTTTGCGCCCTTGACAAGAAAAATGACCATTGCGCTCTAAGTCGGTACTTTGCCCGTTAGTGACAAAAACATTTTTTTTTTTCTATCCAAACGTACAAGCAACTAGGAAAGCGAGCGGTATTTTATTTCAATAGGAAATCATTTTTGCAAGCGCGGTACAGTTTGTAGGTACAGTTGTGGGCTTTACAAAGGATAGGAGAGCTTATGTACGACGTACCTACCGCGAGCAAATACGCGATATGGAATATGCAAACACACGCGTATTACATCCCCTGCGGGTGGTATAAGCCTCTCATCCCATCCTTTATCGTAAACTTGTCTGCGGCACACATCACGCGATCACTTGCCACGATCTCAATGTCTTTGTCGGTGAGAATCACGTGCACGTCTCTCCAATGTTGACCAAGTTATTTTCCCCTCTGCGTGTCTGTGTCTCGAGTTCTCCCCTTTCATTTTTACTTTCCTCCTCCGAATTTTCCCGTCCTCCTCCTCGTCTCCTCCAAACTCGATTTGTCAACTGCAGGTCGCCAATCTTCTGTTATATTTACTCACAGTCACGGCGACGCAAATTGGAAACGCATACATTTTCCCCGGAACGAAAGGGATGTAGTTGCGCCAGTCGACGCTCGAGTTTCCCGGCGTGGATCGAAACTCCAGGTCGAGCGATCATCCACTCCAACTTTTGCGGACAGCTTCCGTTGGGGGATGTAGATATTTTTAGACGCCGAAGGATGTGAAGCAGCTTGTGACTGTTTTTTTTTTTTTTTTTTTTTTCATCAAGAGAGAGACAGGGAATTCCCGAAAATAAGTCCTCGGGAAAATTTTCTTGACGCAATTCGTGGCTTAGGCCATGGTGAAAATAAGGGGCGATCGTGAACCAGAAGTGAAATTCAATTGATGCATTGCATTGTAATGAGCTGATGATACGCTGTAACTTGTTGTTCAGCTTCATTTCTGTGTGAGTTGATGAATTTTAAATAGCTGAGTATTACACTCTAGTGGAAATATACATAAACTGATGTAAATAATATTTTTTTTAACCTTGCGTTCGTTTGTATCAATGAAATTACATTGAATAAAATACACTTTTTTCTGGTGAGATCAAGGACTGCTTTCTAAAATTCCTTCATGTGGCTGTTGTACCGAAATATTATTGTGCAACTGTAAAAAAACTGCTCGTATCATTCTCATTTCTACTACATACAATTTACATGCAAAGAATTTCAATGACACATCCAAGTATCTTGTACTCACATGAAACGTCATGCTCGGCCGCTTTGGTGCAGGGCTCGTCCCAAGCACACACATAAGCGACTTGTTAGTTGTGTATACACGAGCACCAAGCAATTATTTGTAAATATCGTCTTTGTGTTGCAGGTGCGCTCGAGGTCGCTGTCGCAGCTCGACGCCCTCGGGACCAGCATACTGGACGCGGGTGAGCATCAAATGGGCGGCGAGGACTCGGGCCAGCAACAACAGCATCAGCAGCACCAACAGCACCCGAGCCAGAGCCCGTATTACCACCAGATGCAATATCACTCGCACACCTTCGGCGAGTCCAGCCCGCGCTTTCTCGTGCCGAACGCGGCCTCGGCCGACGGCAATCGACCAAACAGGACCAGGCACAAGCTCTCGAGGTCACAGGTACGTGCATTCGTATGATTTATTTGGAGGATTAATTTTTCTCTCCTTTTCTTTTTTTTTTTTTTTTTTTTTTTTTTTTTTTTTCATGTAAAACTGGAATATAGTCAAAAAAATACGATCGAGGCACGGGTAAAAAGTTGCTGTGCAGTCTCTCAAAGGAATAATACAAGGGGGGAAGGACGAATGGGGCGCGCGTGAAATGGTATGACGGGGATGGGGAGCCGCCTATAGCCAGGGAAGGAAACTCCTTGGAAAAGTTTTACGAGCCCCGTTTTCTCTCGCTTCGGTGTATTACGGCCCGCATAAAGTATCATGGGTACGCTTTTTTTTTTTTTTTTTTTTTTTTTTTACCAGCGAAAAAAGCACAAGTATTGCTCGACGCGTGGATTTATCGTTTCGCAATATTACAGTAGCGTGTACGAAATCGACGATGCGGCCTTCCTCGTGATACCAACATACACGGATATTGATATTTTCGTTGGTGATGGATTAATGTTGATTATATCATTTGTAATGATAACTCACATCGATAGAAAGAATAACACTCAATTGATGATAAAAAAATTTCAAGTAAGGAACGTTATACCACATTAAAAATTTTAGATGAGTAAAACGTTGCAAGATGGGTTTAATTATTCGTTGAAATGAATACTTATCGATGATTCTGCCTCTGCAATGACAACATGAGGTATCTAGAGATACGATCGTGTCACTATACTGTTACGAAGGATTAGTCGTAGTTAACGAATGATTTATCGCTATCGATTCAATGCTTTGAAATAACAATAGAGGAATAATCGCTGGCGTTTAACGCGAGTCATTTATAGTTAACGAACTAAATTATTTGTTTGGACCTGTGATACTTGTGTGCAAATGTTTTATTTAATGAGCAAATATACTTTGACGTATTTAAGCTTGAACTTATTACGAGTTACAAAGAGGGCTCTATCCTTCGTATAAGCTCTTATCGATGTGATTTTTTTTTTCATGTCTTCCCTGGTATAAAAAACAACATTTTCCATTCACACACACTGCCATCCGCAACTTGTATATCAATGAAAGGAGAGATATTTCAGCTTTCGCGAGATACCTGGGAAATACAATTTTTCATTATTTCGCACAAAGAGCTGTGCATCGGACAGCGTAACATTTTCACAATGGAAGAAAATATTGATGGGCGCTTCAATACGGTAAAAGTGTTAATCTCGAAAGTATTGTGTTGAAAAATCTCGTTCTCAATTCCGATATGGGCACTATAAATGTACAACGTGTTATAAAAATACACTCAGATCCAAATGGGTTCAATACAAAGATTTTGAGATTATCATCATCTTCATTGTCCGGTCCTAATGCCTTTATTAGGAGTCTCTTTGGTAAGTGCTTGCGAGATTCAATTATTCAAGGTAATGCACCGCACCGTGGTAGGGATTAGCTTTTAAAGAAAAATTTTCATCGATTCCTCTGAACTTACCCTGTGACATTTAACAGGAAGTAAGCATCAGCAGTAGAGTATGAATATTTTACTCTCGTTAATAATGCGTCAGGCGCATCAGACTCCGTGCACGCATTGAGGAACGCAAGCTAGGGCTTCTCGATAACTTTTCACGCACGTGAAATTTCCCTTATTCCTACGACGAACAACTGCATGTTTTAGTACACACGGAAAAAGAGCTTCCAGCCCGGGAAATTGAAAATATACATCCCAAAGGGTTCTAGGAAGAAAAAAAAAAAAAAAAAAAAAACAGCAAGTGATTGAATTTTGCTTATAAACTCTTGGGAGATCTGTTGTCGGGCGCCCACACTCGCGTCTTCTCGCCAGTTTCCCGTGCAATCCATCGATAGTTTATCGGGTTACGCAAGTCACTGAATTTTCCCCACCAACCAGGTTTCCTGTCGAACTTATTTTTGCATTTCTACATTTTTCGACGAGCTATTTTTCATATCGACTTTTTGTCCCCAACAGTACTCTTTTTTTCCGAACATTTCAGACTTGTGAAAAGGGCCATTTCCACATCGATTTCGGTGCACTTTGTTGGGAAAACTTTCTCATCGCGTAAACGTAACGTCGAAAAAGTAAGTGTATTTACTTACGCTGCGAACAACAGGTAAGTTTGGGACGCAAGCTCGGGGCCTCGAAAAAAAAAGCAACATAAGTACCTACCATTTCTTGGAAAATAGACTGTAAAAAGGGGCGAGAAAAAATGACGGCAATTCAAAGAAAACAGGGCAATAGTGGTCTTTGCAAAATGAGGCCACTCCGACACCCTTCCATCGCTTCGGTGAATAATCTCCGATGCCGTTTGACGAGCACCCCGGTAGAGCAGTCGAAACGTTCTCGTGAGTGATTCCTGGATTGGCGTCAAAAGCGAAATTTATTGCTAATTTAATATTATTTCGCTAAATGGCCCTTTGACTCGAATCTCGATGTGCCCCGCTCTGGGAATAACGATCGGTGAGCACTTACCCCGCGAGCTGTAGAAACCCAATTAGCGCGTCGTTTTGACAAAAACTGCACTAAACTCGAGTCACCGCTGCGTAAGCCGCTCGAAACTTTGTACCGGCTGTCCGGAGTTTTGACGAGAATTTGATTACCCGAGTTTTCGGGTCCAAGGGAGGACAATTATTTTACCAGCCGAATAAGTACGAGGCAATTTCGGCTGCCGAGGTTGCACGTGCCGCGGCAGGGGGGATGGGCATGTATAGCGGTGTTGGACTGTCGCGAGCGCGCGTGCCAGAGCCGATGACGGAAGATGCCCGTAGATCAGAGTGGGGAAGGATTTTGCCTCTGACGTCTGAATTATTCGGGTCGTGGGGGAGGCGCGGGCTGTCGGCCTGCGTTTCTCGGTTTCTCGCTCGGGCGGAGGCGAAATCAATGTTACACGTGGACTGGCGTATATGTCTGGGGCTCGTATAATTAATGCTCTTGCACGCGTTTCGCATTAATAGGCTCGTTTGTTCTGGGGGACGGGGTTGTTTTCTTCCCTCGTACGATATGTTTTTATTTTTCGGATCAAAAGATGAAACATCGGGGCGTTTGTCTCTCGCAAGTGACGAATGAAATCAATTGAGAAATATTTCTGTTATCTGTTGTACTTACGGCAAGCGAATGTATACAGAGTTTGCTCTAATATTTTTGCTCCGCTGTTTTTTGCAGGTATCCAGCAGCGAGTACTTCAGCGTGGACTTCGATGTGGGCGACGAGACCAGTGTCATAGATCGAGAAGAGTTTTTACCCGCTACCAAAGGGACATATCTTGTGTAAGTGGAACAAAATTATTCTGTTAGACATTGATTTTCTTACCCCAAAAATGATATAATCAAACAAATTAGTGATATAATTCTTATGCCGATGGTGTTGGTTTAAATCGCAAGACGGTAATATTATTATTTAGCTTTCGTTCATAGTGACCTTGGATGTCAATTTCGTTGATTATGGCCAAAGTTTTGTGCCCCGTAAATACGAAGCAAGGCCATGCGCATCAATTATTAACAGACGGCAAGGTCAGTGGTAGAAAAAGAAGAAAAAAAAAAAAGAAAAACAGCAAAGATCAAACTGATGGATTCCGTACCATCTTGCAAACAGATTAACGTTCGGTAAGACTAGCTGCATCATTGAGCGCCAAAGCACTACCAAACTCGTCACTCGCAAGCTTGGCGTCTGTTCCAAAAGCTTGTAATCTTCTTTTCCGGATGTTCCTCGCACTTGTCCCCCGAGCACATTCGTAAGGTTTTCCCTCCCATCGCTTCCCGCCTCGCAAAACTTGTCTCTCAGCTTGACTCCGCATCCCTGACCGTGCGATCTGTCTCTTTCCACTTTGGCTTCGACGTCCCGTACGACTTTTTCTCTTGTCTCGCTGCCATCCATCTTCATTTTTCTTCCCCCCTCGTGTTGCTCTTTTTCCCCCTCGTCCACTTTATTAACTACAACCTATGTACAGGCTATAAATTAAGCCTTGGTCGTTTAAGCTTTTAGAGAGTCTCGGATGAGCTTTGTCTCGAGAGCAGCTTGCATTGCTCCGAAGGAAAAGTAATGGTCGATCGATCGAGTATTTTCACGTCGAAGAAAATTCGAGCTCTCGACGATAAGCCCCAATCTGATTGTAAAACCGATTTTTTTTTTTTCCGAGAGGCGATTCGGCTTTCGGTTGCGCAGCGCGTTTGTTTGCACGCAATCAGCAGTCGGTGCGTGGAATGCAATTCCGTGGTCCGCCGAAGGATGTACCTCATTTTTGTAATCTCGTCTGATTCGGGTGGGGATTTTCAGTCTGTGAATTTCGCGAGATAAGCCACTAAATTGATGGGGGAGGAAAAAATTCAATGAAAGCACGGACGCGGTCGGGGTTTCAAAGGGATAAAAAACTTGGAGCAGAAACTCCCTTGGATTTCAGAAAAGATTTCTACTAACGAAAAGTAGCATATACTTTTTCTGGCGATAAATATTTGTTAATCCGTATTTTACAAGTGTTTGTTGAAAAAAGAAGATTCACAACACTCTGAAATGCTAAACTTAAAAAAAAAAAAAAAAAAACCTCACAAGAGTGTAAGAAAACATTTTCTCAATGTACCTACACGAGATTTGAATATAGAGTAGTATTTGAGGATGCACTCTCGCACCTAACATCGTAAGCCAGAGATTTAATACAGAGTAAACAAAGTCAAGGCGCGCATTACCTCGACACTTCTTTTACGAATAAGCTCGGGAGAGTAGCTAAACAAAACGACGTATAAAAGAGGGTGTTGGCATAAAAAAAAAAAAAAAAACGCCGTCGCTGTGCATAGGAGTTATTTGGGAAGGGGAGCTCTTACCTTGGGTTTTATACGACGCGTAAATTCCAAAGCTGTGCCGCAACACCGCGCAGTGGTACATACGGACGAAGCAACTCGTAAAGAGTCATGAAGGAGAAAGCGACTATAGTAGCAGTCGGGCTCCTTAAATTTCCTCCGACACTGACTTATGCGGCTGACAGATACGCGCGCGCGAAATAAATTTTGGCATCTGCACAGGAGACGCGTCTTTTCCCGCGATGGCTGTCGAAATGGGATTTTCGACTCCTTGCCACCCCCGCGTACCAATTGTGCCATCTCTCGACTCGTTTTTCCTATACATATTTGCGGGCGTCGTTGCGAATCGATTTTGCCCTTACGTTCATACCAGCTTATAGCTTATTTTGTTTACGATGTAGGTCGGTCAACTGTGCCGACACACTGATGCGAAGAAAAAAAAAAAAAATAGAAGCGATCCGATTAGGCAGCTGTAGATCGGTGCTTCTGCTTTAATTGTTGACCCATATTTCCTTTCACTCGGCATGAAAAAAATTTCCATCGATCTATTCGTGTTTTTCTTGCTCAGGTGTACACGTGGCAGTGAATAGCACTTGATGCCTCGCAGGTGAACTACGATCAATTCAGAAATTTCAAAAGAGCTTTTTTTTCACAAACAACGATGAACCAAGTTGATTGATTGTTTTACAAATTCGAACAATGTGTAATAATAGTATAGTAGCTGGAAATTATTTTTAGTTGGGCTCGCCGGTATGGTCAAATATTTATGACAAAAACACAATCATACGCGTAATGGAGTGACATGCTTCAATTGTCGGCGCAACAATATACCTACACACGCGCAACGAAAGGATATTGAAATAATTTTGTCGACGATAAAAATATACCATTGGATTTTATACTCAATGGTATAGTCTTTATGGATACCGATCAAATTACAAACCAATCATTTAAAAAAAATTTTCTTCGAGGCTTGACGTGAAAAGTGTAAAAAACAAACTCTATTCAATACAACAAATGGTACGCTATATGGTAAACGATGAATACAGGATGGAGCAGTCAATATATTTCTCGTGTCAATCGTTTAACTAGATATTAAATATGAATCGAGGAGCTGTGTCATCGAAAAAGACACTACTATTAGCGCCACCCTCCTCTGAGACCTCGCACCGCCCTCCATCACCTATAAATGCACACGCGACCACCTTGCGTATGAATCGCCAGCCACGTACGTGTCGTCTGAATTGCCCCGCGTTTCAACGGGATGCGTTAAGCGCGCGACTTGTGAAAAAGCACGCGTGCACTGAAAAATAGACGCGAGAAAGGTGCCGAGCGAACGTGAGCTGAATTTTTCGCGCCGTGCGGTCTCTATTGAATGCATCGCAACCTCGATCGAGTTGATGTGGAACAGGATGCTTTTCATGATTATGGTCCCGTTGCTTTTTCCTTATCGTGTGCTCGTGAAATCGTTTTTTCGTTGAGTAATTTACTTGGGTCGAAAAATAAGTAGTAAGGGTCGAGATTGCGTCAGACGCATGGATTGTTTTTTTTGATTGTGTATGAACGTGGGTGGGGGGAAAATCCTCGTATGAGTTTTTTTTATTATTAAGTGATTCCTTTGGGTGTCAAAAACCCTCGTGTCACACGTGAGTATTTTTTCATTAAAAAATCTCTTTGGGTCTGAAAATGAGTAGTAAAAGTCGAGACTACGTCAGACGCATGGATTGTTTTTTTTTATCGTGTATGAATGCGAGTGGGGGAAAATCCTCCTATGAGTATTTTTTTATTAAGTAATTTCTTTGGGTCTGAAAATGAAAAGTAAAGGTCAAGATTACGTCAGACGCGTGGATTGTTTTTTTTTTTATCGTGTATGAACGTGGGTGGGGGAAAACCTCTTCTGTCACACACGAGTGCATCCGGTGGATCGTAAAAAATCGTCCTTGCGTATGAAATCGTGCGACGACAAAATCTCCGTTGACACGCGAGATTTGCAATATCGGGCCAACTAGCGCGTGGGTGAAACGAAACGGCGGAATTCTAATGGAGCATCAATCGGAATGAGCGAAAAAAACGAGAAACACGTTGGGGACGGGAGAAACAGAATGGCAGACGCGAGGTGTGATTTATCGCGTTTTGATGTCGGCTGGAATTCAATAAACACGATACACCTACACCGGGCTTGCCACGTGTGTGTGTGTGCGCGCAGAGAGAGCCTCTATTCCGACAATCTGGCCAGGCGCGCTTTTGCATTCAAGCTTTTTACCCGCTGGCGACGACGAGGTCGTTCTCTTTTTTCTTTGCTCGCTGGCATGAATCATCCGTGAGTGTGATTTTCCGGGAAAACTTGAGGCCGGATGAAGCGAGCTAGAATCGGTCTGTACTTTCTGTGCTTCTCAACGAAAATTGGAATAAAGAGCTCGTAGGTTCTTTTCAATATTTTTTTTTTTTTCACTGTACTGGTGTAGTTACTTTCATGGAAAAAATTTAATTAAAAATTAATTCTCTGGATCTTCCGGATTACAGCTTGTCCCGTATTTCCCAGTTCTCTTACGGAAAATGTTGAAATTTTCATCTTACGTGGTGACACTTTTACGAAGACTACCTTCGTAATCCTTTGAATCCCTTTGCAGCTTACGGCTTATGGTCATTTTTCTAAAAACATTTTCTTCAAAGTACCATTTTTTGAGGTGAAATTTTTTCCACATCCTTCAGATCACACGTGAAATAAAAATAACCACCTAAATCCGCATGCTCCTGTGAAAAGAGAAAAAAAAACCTTTTGTCTTTTCAGCAAAAATCTCGAAAATATCCGCGAACTTAACTGGCGTCTGCCCGAACGAAGGCTTGATTGGAAGACCGGGATTTATACGCGTCGCCTATTCGCACCACAGCGGCAGTCCTTCGCAGGATAGGTATAAATCTGCGTGCGCTCGGCTCCCTTACGGCGCTGGGCTTCATTTTTTTCCAGCTATACACTGCACGAAGGTGGCAAGATTTATCGGCTCGCCCGCAACAACGACGGCAACTTTTCTAGGGCGCGAGCGCGCGGGAAAAAAAAAAATGTGACACGCCACGTTTGGTTCCCTTATCTCGACTCTCACTCCACATATACGTACATGTACTGGGTGCGCGTGGCATTTTTTTCCAGGTTTAGATGACAATCGGGATCTTTAGATGTACCGAGAGAGTTTCGCTCATACGCTATACTGCGGGATCTTTCATTAAATGAAATAATTAAGTTTCGTATCAGATACTGTTTGTGAAGCCGTTTGAATATTTATGAGAAAATTAAAACATGAAAAATCGACGTATATGCGCGAACTGTAGAACTATCCTTCAACGTGAATGGCCATATTGTTCGCGTGCACCGCCGCTGTGTTCCTCCGACTTTTATTTCCCATTCCCCGGCACCCGCGGGCGATTTAATTCGAATTGTTTGTAGTGCAGTAGTCGTGTTTGGCGACTCCGCGCCGAACGTTTTCATTATTTCGAAGGTACACGCATACGCACGTGTGTATACATATATGTGGTGGCAGGCACCTCGTTTATTTTCAACGACATGCATAAGCCCCTGTTGACGCTGATGCGATTCTCTAACGCGCTATCGAGCTCGTGCAGGAGAGTTTTATGACCTTTTATCAAACATACGTATACGTTGCCCCCCGTAAATAATACTCGATGACGATTGTTTCGTTATTTGCTTTTAACTGTTATTATTCGACGGGACTACTTTGTCCCCAATTCGTAGAGCCTTATCATGCGAATCGAGTAATTGTGCGTGCATGGACTTGAATAATGCAAGCACGAATTTTCTATTGAGATTTAATCCATTTTTTTTTTGGTACTACGGTTAAATTGATTACGATCGGAGGTAAGGAAATTCGAGACCATCGATCATTCGTAGAAATTTAAATTACTGTAATATTCATCACTTACAAACGGTGGAACACAAGAGTCCATTTTGACTTTAAATTAATTCAGGTGAAGTCGGGGCCATTAATTAGTAATTGATAAAAATTATTTCTTATTTTATTACTTTCTTGAAAATGTAGGCAAAGGATCAAACTCTAAAGCTTTTAGCGTGAGACTTCAACGATCCTGTGTTTAAAGGGGATGTACGCGTATACTGAGAGATCCGCTTAACAAACACTGCCTAAAGAGTAGCCTTGCTTTTTTTTTCATTGTATATTAAAAAAATCTTGGAAGGGAATATACCGAGCTTTTAGGAGCCATTAATATTAAGTGTTTTTAGGCAGCACTCTTTCACAGGAGTGCCTCGCATCTCAACTATAACATACAACAAAAATTGCAAACGCCCGTAAATCGTCCTTTTTTTGTGAAATTAAAATATTGTTGTTAAAAAAAATCACTTTTTCTTTCACTTATCAATCTGTAGAATGTACGTATTACATTCAAACTTCCATTAAATATTTTTATTCGCGCACTTTTTTTTACATCCCCAAGAGGTTGTTGCGGGCACCCCCCCCAACTTTTTTTTTTAATGTTAATCTCAACCTTCCATCTGTTTTTAATAATTCATGTTTGCCCTCCTCCGAGTCTTTCGTGCAAGCCTTAGCGATAATCCATCTCTCGAACGTCTCGTCCATCCATCTTATATACATGGGAGCATTTGCAGGCGTATCTATCCTTCTCAAACACACCACAGACGACTTTGAGTTAACGCTACCTGTATAATATTTTACGCATACAATTTACTTTACCATATCGATATTAAATACTATTGGCGGCACTACCAATTAAATTGTCTCAGTGCTTGCCTCCTCAAGAAAAAAAATCCTTCAAACTGACGTGAAATTCAGACAGTGAATTTCTGAGCGTCCTGCATTATTTGTCGATCAAGAAAAGCTCGAGGTATCATCCATGAAAATTCACGAAAACGTGTCATGTTACGTGAAATCAACTAATTTATCCGAGACAGCATGGATAACGCTTTAGACAATGCTTTTGCCCCAAATCATTTTTGTAGGTAATAGATAGCTACTTACGAGAATAACCGTGAGGTGAGACACGCAAAACATGTGTAGGTTATTCTCTTCGTTTTCTTTAATGGCTGAGTGTTAAGGAAAAAAAAGGGGGGGGGATATAATTAGGGTAAGGAGCACAGCGAGTGGTGCTGTGCGAGTTATAAGCTGTAATGAGTCGCGCGAGTGGTAGTCAATAACAACTTTTAGACGCGAGACCTCTAATTAATCGTTTTCCCGTGGCCATCAGAGTTACGAACTTTGGTAATTGACTTTTGGGATCACGTAGGGATGAATTATCACGGATTGCGATTAAAATCAACAAAGGCAGCTATGGTTCGATGATTAAAATTTTAATCTTGTTTCCAGGGAAATTTTAGGACCAGTTTGCGAACGGCGAGGCATCGATTTGTCGCGCGTTGACGTTCTCAGCGACAGCTTCAATGGGCCTCTGTCCATAACAACCACCGAAACATCCTCCCTTGGCGGAAAAAATTTACGAATAACAGGTAAGACCCTTGCACCCTTTTGTCCTCTACGCTCAATCGTACAAACGTCTGCGAAGCTTTTTCGAATCAAAAGCCAAGAGGTAATCAACGGAGGGACTCTCGGCAATCGATATTCCATCTCTAATTGAGATCCAGCCATTTAAATTGACGGTGACAAAGGAACAGTCGTGTAATTCGAGTGCCGTGGCCTTGGATCGAGCGCCGGCTCGGGGCATAAGCTCTACATCTCCGCCGTCTGTCTTTTAAATTAAGATCCGTCATTCTGCTTCTCCCTGCTATTGAATGAAACTTGTTTCGGGACCATTTACTAATGGACGGGTTTAATTATCCCGCCTGTCCGAACTTTTTTTGTAGTCTAAGAAACGAGCTGTTGTCAAAATCATTCGGAGGATGCTTGATTGTTGAATAAAAAGAAAGTACATCCTAAAAAGGATTAGAAAAAAAAAAAAAAAAAAAAAAAAAAAAAACAGGAAACAATAAGAAAAGGAGTTTTATTCTGGGATGATTATACAATTGCAATGACATTGATCACGGGGAATTGATAGGAAAGTTTTTCAATTACGAAAACTTTGAGCTTTGCTTCTTCAACCTAATTAATTGAATATCTCATTGTACCTGCATTTTGATGCAAAGATAACGTTAGCACATTATGATTCGTGTAAATGAACATTTGATTAAAAACTTAACTCTTGTGATGACTGATAATTTATTGAGAAAACTTTGGAGTGGTAGATCCATAAACTTGAAGATGGTTAAAACTTAACGAGCAATTCAATTTACCTCAACCCCAATCTAGTTAGCGGTTCTCTAAAAATTTTATAAGATAAACGATACAAAATTTTTTATCTGTGCTTAAAAAATCGTTTTCGATGACAATATCAAATCGGTATTTATTTATTGGAGATAATCTGAGAAATACATTTTTGTACAAAGTATTGTCAACTCTAAGTGAAATTCAGTCAAATGTTACACACCAACTTTCGTCCCCTCGACGTTACGGCTTTATTTTAACGATGAATAATGCCCTCAACTTGGCCGGTGGTACACAACCATCAAAGCTGATGGCAGGGCAAATGATGTATCACATGATCGAGAGAGAGAGAGACACCAGCGACGAGGAGAAAAAACAAAAGTTGGGGAGAGGCACGTGTGGCACGTAGATACTCGCAATTGGAAGTAGAGTGTATATCCGAGATCCAAGCCACAACAGGTCGTTCAATTTGCATCACTTTTCCAATCGAATTTTTCTCGTGTAGCGCCCGCGCATTAGCACCACACCGCATGATTCTCCAAACGTTCCCTCCACTGATTTCCCCAGCGGCGGGAATCCCTTTTCGTACCTCCCTCGTACTTATTCCCGAGGAAAGAAACCCCATCAGCGCGCACAGCCGTGAATTTCCCTCGTACCACATACTCCCTGTTATTTCAGCTTGCGCCACTCGACCTTGTTACCTCTCTCCCACGGCGTTTGGCGAAAATGCTCTTATACACCTGTTATTCTTCGGGTGGTGCGTTATCCTGTTTTTCCACTTATTCCGTAACAGCATGAAAGTATCCCGGAGCTACCATGAAATTAGTGCCGAGAGTCCCTGTGTCGCTCTTTTCTCGATGAAAAATTCACTGAAAAAAACTCCCGAGCCGTATAAGAATCGACAAACACGGTAAGCACGAGAGCCCGGCTCTGTAGTTTTTTTTTTCCTTTCCCCGTGTCTCTTTCGACGTTTTTCTAGCGTTCTCTCGAGTAGGATGGTGGAGGGGGGGGGGTGACTAGTGGGTGTATGTGTGCACGCGCGTTCATAAATTATCGGGCTTTCAGCGGTGCTTGGCCCAGACACTCATCCGCGACTATAGTGTACTCGCGTACTCTCGTGTATACATATAGCTGGCGGTGGAAGGGAGAGAGAGAGAGAAAAAAAATGAAGGAAAACATACCCTCTAATGCGAGTCAAGGCTGCGTAATTCGTTCGTTTCGCGTGCTCCAGTTCTCCACGTCCGCTCGCACGAAACACTTGATTTTCTTTCTTTTTACACACAACTTTGAAGAGGCTCGCTTGAAAACGGAACGATTGTCCGCGCTGATAATATTGAGTGTCCTTACACTGGGGCAATTTTTTTTTTTCCCTCTCTCGCTTACGTACTAAATACTAATCTACAAGGCTCGCTGTAGTCCAAAAATAGTATGGTGGTTGGAAATTTATTCGTATCTTTTTTTTTTTTTTTTCATGTCCAGTGTATATATTTGCAAAATAAAAATATTTAGATGTTTAAGATTGTTGTAAGATATACGCTGTATTTTTTTTCACATGAAAAATTGTGTGAAATCCGTATTTTGGCTGTAAATAAATAATTTTATCATGAGATCTGAGTAGGTTGAAGTAGTTGTAGTTTGTGACTTAAATTTGTTAGCTTCTATTGGGCTTGGATTTAGAGGGGCAACATTTTTACACATGATCATTGGGTTTTGGAGGTGCTAAATTTTAAAGTCTGTAGTTGTAGATGTCAAGATTTATACTTCCGATACTTTTCTTTAAAATGTAAGTTCTTTGTTGTAAACATTTGCGTTAAAAATGTAGAAATATTTTTTTTAACGCTTGATAATCATAACTATTGTTCAGCCCGAGTAAGAGAAAAACTATCAAAAATGAAAACCAAACTTTATCATGGTATTATAATCCATTGTAAAAAAATGCATCCACTAAATTTAAGCTCAATCGGATGTAAACTTATGTAGTACATTTACATGCCTTGATATTTAGACTTAAAACTTTTTGCCCCTGGTGATAATGCAAAAAAGTGCTCCTGACAAGCAATTATGCTTAAAAATAAAAATATGTTTGAAGAAATCCAAGTCAACATGTAAAGAGTCAGCAGTATTCCTCACGATTCAATGGTACTGTGTGCTCTTTTGAAAAATGCATTAGTCGTGACGTACGTATGTAAGCTATGTTTTTTTTACCACTTGTTAAATTTGAAAAAATAAAATTGCCGAAAACCAGGAATTCTTATCTCAAACCTACCCTTCGATTAAGCGAGGGGGTGTCAAATGGAGCGTGCGAAAGAGCAAACAGCGAAAAGTTCTTGCACTTTCCCACCACGTACTTCGGCCGTGCTCTACAACGCCTCGGTCGATCGGACGCACGCTCGCACCACCAAACCCGGCCCAATCGACCGATGGCAGAAAAATTTTTTCACCCCTTCCCGGCATTCTCAGTCACCGAAGATTAACACTCCCGGCACCCCCTTTCGTATCCCATCGGCTTTAATAAAAGTCGAGGCGTTTTAGCGACCATCAATCGGAGCTTCGGTAAGCAAACAATCAGAATTTTTGCCTTTTGTCCAATATCGCACGCAGGAAGAGGACGCTGTTATTGGCTCGTCAACGTGCCATAAAAGCCATCAGCAGTGCATTATCTGCTCATTGTCCTTGGGTAATGCGCGGCAAAATTCAGCCGCGAGAAACGACGCCCTCGTTAATTTGGTTTGCATTTGACGCGCGAATTTCACGTACGTACAGTTGTTGAAAACGAGTATTTTGCGGGAATGCGAAGAAATTAAAAATCAACTATACGTTATTGACATTTTTCACGGAAAATCGTCAAGTACTTCGTGTCCGTCCCGCGAGAGTGCTTACGTTATAATATACAATGGACGATGTATTAAATTTATATTCGAACTTTAAATCATTTAAGTGAATAATGGGGCGCTCTCGAGTTTACCTGGGCGTCCATTGTGCTGGAGCATTTAATTTATCATGCGGAAATCGCACTTTGTTATTTACCAAAACGCCCATTCGGTTATTTCGCCGTATAATTTAATACCTGCGCTATTGTATATCCAAGCGCACGTAGAGCTGCGCTGAATAAATATCTAATGCGTTCCTGATAATCCCTAAAATATTATTTCCGTAAATTATCCACATCGGATTCCCATTGCGATACACGCGAGCAATTAAAAACTCGGGTATACGTCGAAAAATTTATTAAGCATGGCAGGGATTTTCATGGATTCTTATAGAGAAAAAAATAAGGAAAAGTGCTTCGTTTCTGCTCAGGATGATAAATGTTATCAGAATGTATACGAGTTCATCTTTCACGTACGTTGTTGAGGTGTACTATACGAGGCCTGAAATATGAAGAAAAAGAAAAAAATCTATAAACCAGACGATGATTGGCGAAGACACTTTGTCATTGTTATTTCACGCAAAGTAGGTTAACAATCTTTCCCATCGTCGAACGGCTCTAATGATTGTTCGAGAAAAGTGGATACTTCCACGGATCGAGAGTCATTTGATGCACGTTTTGTACATCACTGAGTTGTAAGCACCATCGATTACACACCCTCGTTTTTACGTTCGAGGAAATAACGGCACTTGTCCTCGTTGCCTCGGCAAGCGTCCTCTCGTTTCGACGGAATTATTAGTCATAACTTGAAGAAAAAAAAGGCTTCAATTCCTCGCTACAAATCCAACAAAACGTTAAGGACGAACCATTATTTTTCTGTTGCAGCCAAGGACGAGAAATCCAGTTGGAGATCGGCGAGTCAAAAGGGCAGTCAGAATGTTACCCTCCACAAAACCAGCGGGGTAAGTCGGACCTCTTTTATCTTTCGCTCCATCGTCGTTTGTCACTGCCAGCTTTACCTCGCAAGCAATACCTATATATGTAATCATTCCAAGTTACAATTTTGTAATTGAGGGTCTTCAAATTTCGTGCGGCTAATAGCTACTCCTTCGCCCTGTCTGCGTCTGCATACCAATGAAATATCAAGCCCCAAAACGAGAAATCACCTGATAAATGATTAACTACTCGGTTGGACGTTCACACGCGAACGAGTGCGGATCTTTTAATCAATGTTTACTTCGAAGCGAACGAAGCAACGAGAAAAAGGAGATATCTTCAGTCGCGAGTGATATTGGCCCTTTTTCTTGGAACAAAGACAGCTTGTTCACGAGTAGTCTTGTTAGATTTTCCCTTACCCAAAAACTCAAAATTAAAATACGAGAGACAAGTATGACTTGTGTCGAAAAATGTCGCTCCTGTTGTTGCTGTTGTTATCACCACTGTTGACTCGGTAGTTTGTTAATTATATACCATAGCCGGCAAGTTCAACCGCAAACTGCGGTGTACTCGCTTGTATATATTATGTACAAATCATCACGTTTGCCCTGACGAGAAACTCAACCGACGCGGCGTGCATCAAAGGCTCATGGATTAGGCACGTGATTCCACGTGCCCAAGTTACTCGCGGCTCACGAGGAGTCAACGCGATAAACTTGGCTACCCTGCTCTCATTTGCTCAATTACCTGTAGACTGTTTCGTTATACGTATAAACAAGCTAAATTGTATTAGCGAACCTAAGATTAACTAGATTATCGAGCTAAACGCCTAAACACCATTTCGATGAGAAAAAAAAAGGCACACTCTAATACGCAGAGTCCGATTGTATTGAATTAGAGTTACCTGTTGTACTAAGCGATGCCAGTTCCTGAAAATAGCGAATATTAATTTACTTACACGTAGAATCTAAAATGGATTATAGAACGAAACAATTGTTTATCAAGGTGCATAATAGTCCAGATTTAGAATGTAGGCGGGTGGGCTGCCCACGCAAGGAAGCCCGAAACTGCGGGAAAACGCGATTAAGCAGGAAACGCAAGCAGCCGAGTTAGAAATTTATGAGCCGGCAAATAATAACATCCTTCGCTAATCCCAACTCGCTCCACCGTATTTATAACCACGAGCCATTTACGGACTGCACATGCAACAATGTTTCCTTTTTTTTTTTCCCTCTCCAAATCGATACTCTTCGGTGCTGCTTTGTCAGCGATTTTCTCACTTGCGGCAGAAAGGCGCGTCACGTATACACGCGTGCATCACACACGCATCCATTCTGCTCCCCTCGGGCACGAGTAGGTACGGAAGCGATTACTTACGTGGCATCGCAAATCGCGAAGGTACACACACGAGAGATAAGTATACAACCAACGCGGCGCGCGATCGATCGCACATGGCATGTATATGACCCTCCGCTTACAGCTCAGTATGCCTACACGTATTCTTCCTCTTATTCCTCTAGTTCTGCTCCCTTTTGCGCGACTTATACTTACACGTATAAGTATAACATCGATTTTCTCAGATATTACAAGTACAGAAAGACTGTATACGTAAGATATTTCGCTCGGGCACTTTACGTTGCAGCGCACCCCTTCGTGAAATTAAGCGCCGAATGAAAAATCGCGCGCTCCGGAAGGGCTCGTAAATGATCAACGTTGGCAAAGTGCTGGGCGCGTATGGAGAGCGGGGCCTCCGTAGGTTGTAAATTTCACGGGCCTGCAATACTTTGAGCGCGGGAATATTTCCATGCAAGAGCAGTTAAAATTCGTCGGGAGGTCGTAAAACCGGGGTGGAGGGCTTCGATAAATCAATCGGTTACGCGCCCCGTCGCTCTTCAAAAAACACCCGTCCGATGCCGGTGACGTTCATTCGCTACTTTTCCTCGGATGGATGGGGCTATTAAACGTCCCCGTGCATCTGGTGTACAACCGCGAGTGGCTCGCGATAAACCACCAGCTCAAAAGTTATTTAGGAATTCCCGCTGCTGTTCTCGACGTGCGTAGCGCGACAGTTTTAGAAAACACGCCCCTAAAGACTCCTCGAATGTTTCTTTGCGCCAAAGCTGTACAACCGTCGAAAGCGTACCCGAAAAAAGTAAAAGACCGCAAATTCCCATCGAGTATCGCGAAATCACTCTCATCTCCGTGAGGTCGTGCATCGGGTTGAATATGAAGCGCATAGAGCCGTGGGGGGTCGTTACGAATGCGAAGCTCGCGTCGCGCGTAATTCAATTTTCCCGCGACCACACCGCATACGTGTTCGCACTCCAGGGGTGTTTTCTCCCTGTCTTTGCTCAGGTACGAACGATAATGATCCCCGAAAAGCGAGATTTTTGCTAGTCGTCTTCGGGGCGCGCTGTCGCGCGGGTATACTTGTAATTAGCGCCAAGCGTGTTTCTTGCCCTCATATCGCGAGACTTTGCCGTCAGTTGGGACGCACTCGTGCGCGCAAAGGAACACGCGCACCCCTTTGTACACGAGTACAATAATTAACTGGAAGGTGGAGACTTGCAGGATTCGGGCACGAGCTTGGGTGTAAAGCGTTGTGCGCTTGAAGGGCTCGCGAGTTGTTTTTGAAAAAAAATTGCTGTTAATAGACGTCGAGTTGGTGATGGATGGGATTGACGTTACAGGAGGGAAAGCAGATTGAAGTACTTGTCATCCGGTGATACACGGGCAACAGTTTTTTGTCGATATACCACTCGATTTATGATTGCTTGCAACTTTGAGCAAAGTCCTCGATATTGTTATTTCGCTGAACACAGGACGTATAATCCGATATTCGTTGAACCAAGTGATACACATCTGCAAGAGTAATTTATTACAACCTTTGAGCTAGTAAATTTTCCATACTGATGTAATAAAAGTGAATTCACGAGACTCACTTCTCTCCTTTTATTTTACACGCTAGTCATTATTTATCACTATCAGAGCTTATTACGACGAAAACTTATTGCTCTTGAATCTTAAGCTTAAGTACAAACAGTTTTGTCTCTGTGTGTTATTGAGAATTTCAATCGAAGTATCAGTTGTTTTTCCGTACCATTCAATGTAAAAGTGAGAAAGTAAAAAATGAGTGTATCATTTGCCTCTCTTGCATTATGACGGTAATCTATAGAGCAATCACATAATAGTTGCAAGTTCATTATCAATTATTACAGAAAAATATTTTGACACGACCCACGATGTCAATAAATCTTGTAAATGGTATTTTTGTGTCATTGTTGAATTTGTAGTGTCGAGAATAAGTTGATTAGCTTTATAGAGTAATAGCTTTGATTATTCAATCTCAGTCGTAAAACAATTTTGTCGAGCGCAGATAGAAATATCTCCTGTACTCAGCGCAGTAAAATTAAGTGCACGTATACGTGTTTAGATTTGGATACGCTGCTCAATCAAATCATCATCATTACCCACGAGCAACGACATTTAGTCGGTGGCTCCTGTAAAATTAGCTCTTTGGTGTGAATTGAAGTAAACCCCGCTTTATGCCTATCTCGGTGAAATGTTCAAAGTTAATTTTAAGAGGATCTTGAATTCGTGCAGGTTTATGTACTTAGGTGCCGATGAAATGTACGGAAGCCTTGATTTTGCCAACTAAAAGCATCTTCAACTAAAAGATTAAGGCGTCCGAACGTGCTGGTATTCAGAATTCTATTAGTATACACCTCGCCAAGTAGCGTTACGTAATGCCAATCAGAGGCAGAGAGAGAGAGAGAGAGAGAGAGGAGAAGCCAACGAGGTCTTTTCCATTAGTTTACCCTTGCGCCTTAATGAAAACGTAGGTAGCTGAAGTTCATCCGATAATTGCACGCGTATACACAAGAGCTCACGGTGATGATAACAACACCAACTACTTATTATAAAGACAATAGCGATTCAGTGGTACGCTATATCGTATGGCGAAAGGGTGGGTGATTTTGTACAAACTAATTTGTATTTTATGGCAAGACTTTTCGCGTGTTATTAATAACGTAGCTAATAGGGATGGATTAACTTGCGACTAATTTTTTGGCTAAACTTGTACGAATCGTCCAATCATCCAAATTTCGCGTTTAAGGGGAAAGAAAAAGGTGTGCTAATTCGCACGGCAGATGACAAGCGCGCGATGATAGCGAAACATCGAAGCAAGAAAAAAAAATTGGATTGACACGATATTGTTGTCGAGCAGAGTTACAGGGGCAGGGGCAATCGTTTCTTCAGCGCGTCGACCGAGGACTCGAGCGTGGACTCGGAGTTTAGCGCGGCCGCCGCGGCGCACGCGAGCTCCGCCAAGGGTACCGCTGGGCCCGCGGGACTCAACAAAACCGGCAAGCAGCGCTGGAGCTCGTTCTTCACCGGCAACAAGGGCACCAAGATGGACCCGCTCATCGAGAAGCTCAACTTTTACAGCAAGTACGGCGTGCCCAAGCTACCCGAGGCCCATCAGTTCTTGTCCTACGAGTTTGCCCCCAGCGACGAAGGTACAGCATTATATTATTATATTTTTATTTTTTTTCACTTTTGATGAATTAAGATACAAAATACTCGCAATAAACAATTTCCTACTATCTAGTTCTCTCATGATAAATCAATAACCAAACAATAACTCAGATTTATAAGGGTGTTAAAAAAAGCTCTCGTAGATAAACGCGCGTATACACAGCGGAACAAGCACGGGGCAAACTTTACCCTGGCTTTCGAGCTGTAAAACGGATGCGCAGCACTTTGCGCCGAGTTTGCGAGTATCGTTTAACTTGGCGAGAAATCGCGGCGAAAGAAATTGCCACTAGCGCTTTCCTTGGCGTGCACACACACACACACACACTCATGCATATATATGCATTCGGAAGGGAAGTGCCGTGCATATAGCTATGATCGCGCTCGTTTACCCTCTCCCGCATGCAGTGGAGCATCGGTACCCAACTTTCGCGCTAACCCCCGAGAGATGCAATTTCGCCGATCCAATCGCTACTCCCCCTCTCTGTGTATCTCCACTGTGGGCAGGTTTTGTGCTCAGCACTGAAAAGCCTTTTCCGTTCGATCGGTTCGAAACAAGACCCGTGACTGTCCACGGAGCGACGGAGAGCGTATCGATGTGGTCGGCTGATTAAACGGGGCAAGGTCGCCCTCCGGATCTCCTTTTAGCGGATGAAACAGATAGAATTGGTTTTCCGTGGGCTTGGCTATTTTTTTGTTTTTTTGTTTTTAAGCACCAATGACGACCGTTTGATCATCGCGGCCAACATCGGTATCCTTAACTCTTAATGTCCCCGTGTGTTTGCAGCTGTGTTCAGTTTGGAGGACGATTGGCGCGAAATAGTCGAAAATTCCGAGCTGTTGAGCGATAAGCAGCAGCATCAGCAGACGGCCATCTGGGAGCTAGTGGAGACCGAAGCGGCCTACATAAAGACACTGAAGGTCGTAACCGATGTAAGTACCCCGCTCGGCGAGTTAGCTCAGCTCGCGCCCGGGTAAATTTTTCACTGGGTTCAATTATAATTTTAAGGGTACATGTATGTACACACCAGCCAAGCCATTTGGTGAGAGTTACCAAAGGGGGGTTGAATTTTACGAGCGCGGTTCGCAGTCCCGGTGCTGATGAGAAAATTTATCGTCCCCCGTTAAGATGTACACATTGTATACGTAAAGGTGTAATGCGTAACGAAGAAAAAATTCCTTGCCCCCGAAGCTCTTCATGGCGTGCCTGTGCGGCCTGCAGGCCTCGAGTATCCTGATCGAGGTCGACAGGGCGAGGCTGTTCTGCAATATCCCGGAAATCTACGCGGCCAATCGCTACTTTTGGACGGCCCACGTGAGCGCGATGCTGGACGCGGCGAGGAGCACGAGGAAGCCCCTCGACACTGTACATCTGCTCCCGGCTTTCGAGAACTTCGAGGAGATATTTGCACCGTACGCGAGGTACTGCTCCGAGCAGGGCAGGCGCCAGCAGTACTGCCGCGAAATATTCCAGGACAACGACGTATTCACGGCCTATCTCGCGGTAAGTTGCTTTTTTTTCTTTTTTTTTTTTTTTTTTTTTTTACTTATGGCCACTACACTCAAGTATTTTTAATGCGTAGTCACATTGAGAAATGGCAATTTCCTAACTCGTGTTTATTTTACTTCAATGTGCGTTATTTGCAAAGTATGGTTTGGTTCTGTGACTGAAAACTACGATTTTTATTTTGCCTATGTTGCATCGAAATTGCCATCTCTGTTGACACGAACAACAACGCAAATATTAAAGCATAATCGCGAAAACCACGTAATGTTTAATAAGCTACATAATTTTAGATATTTGACCAAAGTTGTGACCATTGTCGTTCGTGACCCTTTTTTTTTTAGTGGTGCGAGACCCAAAAGGAGTGCAACCGTCTGAGGCTGCTCGACATTTTGGTGAAACCGATGCAAAGAATCACCAAGTACTCGCTTCTACTGAAGGCCGTGCGGAAGAACACGGAAAACGAGGATCAGCAATCTGAACTGACGGCCATGGTGAGACTGCACACTTTGTCCAAAACATGAAATCCATCTGACAACCATATGAAAAACTGTCATTAACTTATGTCTTGCATGGAAAAAAAAAAAAAAAAAAAAAAATCACAGATAAAATCCGTGGACACGTTCGTGGGCTCGATAAACTCGGCGATGCGCTGTAGCGAGGAAACGGCGCGGTTGGCGACCGCCGCGTCACGGCTCGAGAGCTACGACGCCGTCGAGTCTAAGGACGACGAGCTGCTCGGGTTTATCAAAAAGTACTGCAACTTGGACATTATGAATGCACCCATGCCCGGCTGTCCCAAGGACTCGCTCAGGATACTGCTGCGCGAGGGCGATCTCAAATTCCGCGACCCTACGTCCAGCAAGGTATACTTTCTCCCCCCTCCCCCATTGTCAAACTTTAATCATCCGCGTCTTAAGCCGAAAATATTACTGTGTACCGTAGAGGACTAGCTTGCGGGAACAATGAGAAGGGCAAGCGCAATATACCTAAATTCAGCTCCTTCCCCGAACATCCTTTTTTTTTTTTTTTTTATTATTTTAAGCCCTCGGCACATGCAACACTTGAGCTGAAATTAATATTTCGCAGATGGAGGTGCACCTACTGCTGATGACGGACATGCTGTTGATCTGCAAAGCGGCGAAGAAGGTGTCCTCGAGTGCTTCCATGACCTTCAAGGTGATCCGGCAGCCGTACGTCGTCGACCGCATCCGCATCCACGATTTGAAGGAAAACTCGGGTTTCGCGATAATTTACCTGAACGAGTTCGGCACGACCTCGGCGGCCTTCGTCCTCAGCGCCAGCGAGCCCAATCTCGCCAAGGTACGCTTAAAGATCTATAACAGGCACAATGTTACTCGAGAGTATATAAATAAATAAAGTGGCAGAGCAGTAAACGTAACATCAAATGATATATAATATAGCGGTTCATGGTACATGGCTTACGAAGCTTGTAGCTCATCGTATACTTTCCGTCCTAGCGAACGAAAAGCTAGTTACAAATTTCGAAACTTTGTAGCTCCATGAGCACCAAAGATCTGTCTGTTGAGTAATCCTTGCATCTTTTTTTTTTTTTTTTTTTTTTTTCATAGTCGTGGGTGGAGTCGATACGCAAGGCGCAGAAACAGCTGGCGGTGCTGAGAAGGGCGGCCCTCAACAGCGTGCTGACCACGACGGTTAGTCGGCAAGCGAGCACGTACCTCGGCGACACGGACTACGAGATGGATGAGTTCTGCGGCATGGAGGGTGTGCCCAAGACCCCTCGTGGGAGCAGTCGAGCCTCGAGGGTCAGCAGTCTCGCGCACAGCCACAGGTTCGTTACTTTGGCACCAAAACTCGTTTGGCTCTCCGATTTGATCGCACGACTTCCTCCTTCACAAGGCACATGTCACATACATATATCTAGTGTCTTTTTCCATTAACTATTTGTAGGTCGGTATGGAAATAGAACTAATTGGTTTTTGCTTCGCTCGCCATGGAAAAAGGCTTTGTAGAAAATTGAACCGTGAATCAATGATAAAAGGGTTGTTCGGTGTCAACTACTCGCTTTTTTTTTTTTTTTTTTACCTTTAAAACGTTGACATTTAAAGGATTTTGTCGACAAATGCAGTTTTTACAGTAAAATCATTTAACATCACCAAATTTACTGATTTTTCGACCATCACTCATCGAATCAATAAAATTTGACTTTACATCAAATAAGATGGTTCGCAGTGACACAGTTTGCACTTTTTCAGTAAGAAATATACATTTACTTTGAATTAGCAGTAGTTCTTCGATGATTATGTTAATAATTTGAAAAAAAAATGTATAGACAGCACAAGCACCTCAACCCGTTAGTTTAGAAAAATCTATTTGAATAATCCGTGCAAAGCTTGATCACGAAAATTTAAGAATCTTTATCTGGCTCATGGACATGCTCAATCAAAATCTGACCACTGCTAAATCATTGGAAAGAAAGAAAAAAAAAAAAAAATGCCAAACTAGCCGATTTCTGACCCAAGATAGAGATACACAACACCTAGACACTCCTCAAAGCCCTTTTAATAGCAACTGTGCATGCATCTCTTTGTGTCTGTCGATGATCATCCTTTAGTCTGTAGTAGCCCCACCCCCCGCGGTACTCCTCGAAGGAGCGTCGGCAACATCGGCCGCGTCGCGTTAAAAAATCAGCATGTACTTTTTCAGCGGCAGCATGGAGATGGAGGGCGCCTCACCGGGTAGCAGCAACTTCCTGCCGAGCTACAACCAGAGCCGGAACGTCAGTATGGAGACGACGGAGCCGCCGAGGGCGTCGAGCGTCTCGTCGGAGGAGGGCACGGAGTCAGCGGCGGCTGCTGCGGCTGCCGCCTTGGCTGGCCACAATCAGCGGCAACTGCAGATCAGGTGACCGATGCCTCCTGATGCACTATCGTCCAGTTGACAATATGCACATGCCTACTTTCGCTCTCTTTCGCGCCACCACCTTTGTACCCTTTTTTTGTCCTCCCAGTTCTTTTTTTTTTGAATCAATTCCGTATATCCACGCTTTTCTACTTAGCGGTGGAAACTACGCTTTACCGATTGCGTTGATATCAAAGGTAGATAGTGCATGAATTGCTTGTCCGTACGTTAACGCCTTTGTTGGTAATTTTTAGCTGTCGCTTGTACTCTCCCTCTTGAATGATAAGAGGCTGTCATAGCGATGCGGCAGTCACTCAAGAAGCGTAGAAAGTAATTTTTATTTTTTTATTTATTTTTTTTTATTTTGCTACATCAGAGAATTTGAGGGAGTTGCCTGGAATACTTGTACATAGTATTATATATTTATGTAAGATTGCATGTCGTACCTGACCCCGATTGCAGTACGATGCCAAAAGCAAAACGGAAATCGTTACCACTAGTGTGTAATTCAATGTTTCATGCCTTCTTGAAAATACGTTGTTTCAATGTTTTACAATAGACGTTTACAGAATGTCTTTGAGACGTTATGATAATATTCAAACGTGAATTTATGTCCATGCGAGTGTTACTTAATAATGTGTATTCGTATGCCTGCGTACACATAATAATTATGTAGTATTAGAGAAAAATCAAAGACATGAAAAGGATTTCATAGACATTCTCACAATTTTGGTAATTCATCTAAGACTAACGTGTTTTATTTTTAAATATCTTAGTTCCTTGATTCCACAGTCAGTTTTTTATAGAGCTATACTTTATATTAGACTTTTTTTATTTGAGATTTTTTTAGAGGACATAGATGTACATTCAAATTTACGTATACATGTATGTAAGGTGTGTGAATATTTATAAAGTTTTAAGCATGTGACGCAAATCAAATATCGTGGTAGCCAAGCCATAGTGAAAATTGTATGAAAAATGACTGATTTTTTAATTTATGCTATAAATATTTTTAAACTAAATTGTAAATACAAGATGTATGATTTGTAGTAATTTTATTTGAAATAAATGTCTGTATTACCAAACCTTCTTTACGTTTTCCATCTCATAAGCAATTTTTTTATTTTATTTTGAAACTCAAGGCACCAAAATATCGCATGTTAATGGAATATACGTAAATCACAGAAGTTTTTATTTTTCAGCATTAATTTGATGCTATGTAACATCGTAAGCTGTGCATAAGAAAAAAAATTTATTCTGAACAGGGTTGCAAAGCATTACACTATCTATAATATTCATAACATAGTTACACTGTAAATTTGTAATTAAAAAATTATCGTTGAATANAAACTCAAGGCACCAAAATATCGCATGTTAATGGAATATACGTAAATCACAGAAGTTTTTATTTTTCAGCATTAATTTGATGCTATGTAACATCGTAAGCTGTGCATAAGAAAAAAAATTTATTCTGAACAGGGTTGCAAAGCATTACACTATCTATAATATTCATAACATAGTTACACTGTAAATTTGTAATTAAAAAATTATCGTTGAATACCCGATATTTTGAATAGTAAATAAATTATGTAATAGCAAATTTTATGAACCATTACTTTTGTAATTAAAAAAATTTAAGTATCCATCGTGTCTTAAAAAAATGTTATCAATTTGAAATGACCAATGTATATAGCAAGCTTTTTGCGCGAATCCAAAAAAAACGAAAGGAAATTCATCCAAAGCATTGCACCCCCGGGTGGGCGTGCATATTTACGTGTTATGTATTTCCAACAAAAAGCAGGCGTTCACTGCTGAACAAGTCACCGACGCCCAACACGCTGAGCGTCCAGGTACCTGCCTACTCGTGTCTCGGGCAATCTCTGCCCAACCTGACTCTGGCAACCTCGCCGCAGACCTCGACGGTGTCACCGACGCCGCCCAGCTCCCTCCTCATCGTGCCTCAGATTACCAAAAGCAAGGACGCCCTACTTTCGCCGGGTCATCGAGGTGAATTTACGTTTAAGAAAAAAGGCAAACCACTTGATTTTTTATTACCACTCTGTGTTTCAGTACATGCATGAGCACGCATATTTGCACGCGCGAGTACAAAGCTTGCCCTGCTGTTTCGATGGCTGGGTGCTTGCTTTCATTTGAAATTTTAATTTACAATATTCATAAACTTTTTTGATGACAGATCGTTTTGTTCCAAAAAATTTTTTTAAACATTACTTTGAAAGCTGTTGTCATACTAATTTTTCTTTCGCGTATTTAATATTCATCGAAAACGCGAGTAACGAAGCGAATTTGTTGGGAAGAAGACGCTTTTTATTTCTTGCAGAGTAAAACGCTATCTCGAATATAAATTGCTTCAAACTTTTTAGCGGCTCAACTACTATTACGTTCAAGATAGCAAGTAATCGTAAAGACAATTGTTGCAAATTAAGCTTTATCGAAAAATTAACTTGCAAAGTTTTGAGGCATGAATGTGCATGAAAAATTAGTGTCTGTTCCAATTCATATTCAGCGAATTAAACATGTTTTGATACATTTATTTTTCAAATAAGAGAAATTATAAAATGCAGAAAACTAAAATAATATATATATATTTCATTGGTATGAAAAAAATTTTTTTTTAATTCACAATGTGTAAATTAATTTAAAAATCTTTTAAGCCAATCTCGTATGCCAAATGAAATAATATTCAAGTTGAGAGACTGCATGTGTAAAGAAACTCAAATCTGGAAACCTCCTCATAGCAATTTAAATTGAGCTTTTTGTGAAAGTATTTGATAAAATTTTGTTTCAAATTATAACCGCAGATTGAGTAAAAAATGAGATTGAGGCTTAAAAAATTATGTATGAATTAATTCCGGGCAAACGTTGAGTATTCAATATTTCAAAAAAAAAAAAAAAAAAAAAAAAAAAAAAAAAAAAAAAAAAAAAAAAAAAA